GAAACCGTGCAGAGTCGCGGTTTCAGTCTGTCGCCGAAGAAGCTCAAACTGGAAGTGCATTATCTACCTTTTCTATTTGAGAAGCCTATACAACTTGCAATTCATTTCTAATGATGATGGAAAAATGGATAACTTTTTATACAAAATAGATTCAGTCTTACATGTTATTACTGAATTTATGCTTTTGCTTTTTGTTTAGGAGAATGAAAATACCCACCCTGACAATGCCCCTCCCCGGCCCCAAACACAACCCTTTTTTTTAATAAAAATTTTATTGATTTTTAAAAACAAACATAAACAAACAAAACATAAAAACATAAAACATCTTTTTTGAAAGCAGCTTGATCCCGGGTTACATCTCTTCGTACAGACACAAATTCAAATTCATGCTTATTTTATATACCATTCCATATCTTATTACCATTCTACATTTTCTATATAGCTTCTCCCCTCTTTTAACTTTCTTTATTTTATTTTATTTATTTCATCTCAGTTCAGATCATTATTCTTTGTCTGTCCTGTTTCCAACTGTCTATTATCTTTTCTCATTAAACAAAATTTCTCCTGTAATCACTGATTGGAGTATGACGCCTTTATCTCTTTCCCCTAAATTTATAACACTTAGTATAATACATAACTTCCATTCGGATTCTGCTTAGTACATTCTAAAGTTACACACTATATTTTAAAAAGAGAAAAAATTATAAATATATAATATAATTAAAACAACAATCCATACCAATTCAAATCTATCATTAATATTAATATTCATTTAAATCTTAAACATTTTACACATTACTTTTCAAACAAGTATCATACTTCTATGGGAACACTTATAAACTTTCCATAGTTATTTCCCCCCACTTCACTTATATTTTAAAACATTGTGTCATTAAAATGTTCCCATTCCTTCCTAATTCAATTCTCTCATTTATTTCATTTCATTTATTTTGTTCACAAAAGTTTCACTGAATTACACTGAGTATTTTATCCCACTTTTTAATCATATGTTGTTTCCAATTTTCTAACATTATTTCTAATACAAATATAACAATACAATCTTATGTACCTTTGCAAAATCACTTTTTCAGTTAAGTTTTTACCCATTATCTCTAAATAAGTCTTGTTTCTTTACATCTTGCTCCACACCTTTGTAGCTTCTCTTCCCTTCCTTCCTCCCTTGCTTCTTCTCTCTGCCCTTTTTACCCCCTTGTCTCTCCACCTCCATTTCCCTCTTCTGTGTTCCCCTTTTCTGTTGCTTTCTAACATTATATCCACTTTTCACCTTATTTTTCCCCTTTTTGGTTGTTTTTTTAGGTCTTAAGGTCTCCATTTTCCTTCCCTCCTTTCCCCTTTCTTCCCCAAGTACTTATTCATTAAAGATGGCTTCTTCTTTGTCCCAATCTTCTTGTTGCACAGTCTTTTCTTGTAGTTTCTCGTAGGTACAGATCGTCATTTCTAAGAATTGAAAAACAGAGCCAGGAGAGCCCTTTCCTTCTTGTTCCTCTTCGTTGTATTTTTTAAATTCCATTTTCAGTTCATCCACAAGTGATGCCATTGTAAAAAAAAAAATTTTTTTTTCAAACAACTGCCCAAGTGTTTTTAGTCATTCAAATATAAGTCCAAAAGTCACCAAGCAATCCAAATACACACAAGCTGTTTCTTTTAACACTTTCTTCTTTTTTCACTTTCTCTTCCTGGGGTTACTGTTTAGTTACAAAGTTCTAGTTAAAATGTATCTTTTAGAAGTCTTGTTAGGATTTAATCAGATTCTTTTAAATTCCAGGCAGCCTCCTCCTTCCGAATCCTGCTCTTATTCTTTTCCTCTCCCTTCCCACTTACAGCAAAAAAAAGTTTTTTTTTTAGTGTTCAGAAATCCTTATTATCCCCTTGACATTTAATTATCCAGTTTAATTACCTATTGATGCCAAAGCGGGTTTTTCCGATTTCTCATTCATCTCTGTTCACTGTCAGCGTAAGGAAGGAGAGTGAAAAAAAACTTTCCCTTTTCACTTTCATTCGCTGCTTCTGAATCTTCCTTGGGAGCGATGTATCTTTTTTAAAAATTTAAATTCCAGGATACTTTAGTTGTTGCTTCTTATCCCAATCAGCTAAAACTTTCACTTCTTAACTTCCTCCTGCACTTTCTTTTCCGGATGAGTGCTTCTTTGAGGCGGCCATTTCTGACCGCCACTCTTACCGCCTTCGGGAAAAGGAGTTTAGCCAACTGGGGAGGAAAGATGCAGCTTTACTTGGCCCTGCTGGGATTTCCCCTGTCTTTGCCACCTCTACGGGGTGCCTTAGACCTGAAGCCAACTGGCTCAGGATGCTCCAGCGGCGAGCCCAGGCAGAAACCGTGCATGATCACGGATTTCTGCCTGCCGCCGAAGTCCTGCAAACCGGAAGTCCCCCCCCCCCCCCCAAACACAATCTTGATGTGGTCCTCAGTGAAATTGAGTTTGACACCCCTGTTATAAGGTTATGAAAATAAAAAAGGGTGAGTTAAAGTTCAGTTGGTGACATATCAGTCAACATCTGAAGGAAGATGGAAGATTAATATAAGAAATGATGGGAGACCTAGGTTTAGGGAATTGTTTTATTATCGCACACTTCTGAGGATTTTTCATAATTTCTCAGTCTAGTTTGCAGGTCTTGGTATTTCTTGGTAATTTCCCACTCCAGGATTTTGAAATTAACCTTGATTAGGTAGATACTGCCACTTACTGCAACTTTTAGGCTGTGCTTTTTTGATTATATTTGTATTACATTTTTGTGCAAGACAGAGCAAATGGGATTTCTACTCATGTTTTATCTTTGCACCAGTATCCTTGTATCCTAAGGTGAAAGTTAATCTGACTGAAATTTACAAAGGGGGCTCCATCTGTATTGTCCAGTATACAATTGCTATTTTCTGGATTCTTAATATGTGATAGTAAGTATTTGTGTTATTTTTTTTAAAAAAGACATTAGGCATTGTTGAAGAAAATATGCTGATTACTACAATCAAGTTTAATGAAGTTTAATAATGAAAGCTGAAAGGATTCTTATATGATATTTAATGCAATGCAATATTTAGGTACCATTATAGAGTATCTAAAAAGTCAGTCCATAATATCTTTCCATTTAATTGGGCAGGAGAGGAAAGGGAAAGATGCTTTGGGAATATGGAAAGAAGATTGTTAATTGTTCAAAGTGGTGTGCCTCTGCAGCGTACCACTACTTCTTGCATGGTATCATTTCAGATTAAATTCTGTGCCTTTTAAATTTCCAGAAATAGCTCTGGGATGTTGTGCTATTTAAATATTGCCAGAAATATTCAGGAATATATGATATTATTCCAAATAAGGTAATGCTACATATAGACCTTAATCACAAATATAATCAGATTTGTATGTCGGAAGTTGAATTTGAATGAAAGTTCTGACGTGCTGCTATCCATAATAATTGTAGTAGATGGAGAAAGAGAAAAGAGTGCTATACCATAAATTTTAATGAGATACTAAAATTTTCAGGTTTACTACTTTGTACTAATTTTGGACTGAAGAGTAGCTATTGGTGCTTTAAAACAAGCACAAACAATTTTGTTCCATTTTTTTGTGCCCATCCTGCTTAAACATTAACTTCATAGAAAATAAAGAACTGAATTCCACTAATTTTTGACTAACATCACGGAGCCAGGGAGAATAGCAGGATTCATAGCAAAGTAAAATTCTGTTAAGAGAAGGTATCCTCTTTCATTGATGCTGTTCAGCTCTGGGTTTTATCTCTCATTTACTCAATCTATAGTTATAGTTCAACATACAGAAAGAAAGATGAAAGGAGAAAAAAAAACATGTTGTGTTATTGTTCAAAAACCTTTTAAAAGAAAAGAAAAAGAGAGTAAGCAATTAGGATATTTTATCCAGGGCAGAGTACTTCTCTTCCTAGATCAGAATTTGGCTTTTGATTTCAAAAAGGTACCAGAGCAGGATTTAGTCATGGCCACAGATGTAGGATTATCCTGATCAGCCAGCCATAGTTGAGTATAGAAAGGTCTGTATGTCCCAGGAAATCCATTAAAAGGACGAAAGACCTGTTCATAATATCTATGTGGAAAATAAAGTTTATAATAAAATTCAAGGATTCATTTGTCAGAAATTTTGGAAGTCAAATCACTGCAGCAAAAAAGTGGCTATTTCATAACTTACATGCCTGGCTAATGCCCAACTATCTCTGATGATAGTCTTTGTTATCAGCTATGAGTGTGTTAGTCTTCTGTCAACATAATGGATTCAGATGTGTGAAGTTATGTATCCTCTTCATGTATTTTTAAACTTTGATATTCTTCCGTATTCACTCAACTTATATTTTAACGAAACGTAGCTAATTTATTATTTTGAATAACATACTCTTGAAATCAGCTTCTCTGTGTTTATCATTTTGAAATTGTTTTGGTCTTACTTATTTCTGTTTATCATTTTGTATTGTTTTATTTGAAACTGAATATTTCAGTTATTTTACTGACAATAAAGCATAATTTTCATTATGCTTTATTTTACTGTGCTAAATAAGTAAGTCAGTTTTCATAGAAATTGGAGCTGAAATTCCTCTTTTTAACTGTCTTTAAATTGGAACATATTAGAGAAAAGAAGGAAAGACAAATTGAAGAATTGAGCAAGTAAATGGAGCAAAAATATATGGCAACAGAATTAATAAACTCCAATAGAACAATTTAAATGATAAAACAGATGCTGCATAATAACAAAACTTTTGAATGTCCTATTGTTTCAAAAATACTTTGACACAAATATTTGAGGATCAGATACTTTTAGATACCCTAACGATCCTGAAGTTTTTGAAACCATATAATCATTGTTTGCTTTTACTATTCTGAAAAATGGAAATATAACCTTCCAAAGATTGCTAGTATTAGTCCTTACATATAGAGTATATATAAATATTCCTTGGAATATTAAAATTCTGCTACTTGTCTGTGATCTTATATATTTCTTATATCTTAGACACATAACACCAGAGAAATTTTATGTGGAAGCTTGCGATGATGGAGCAGATGATGTACTTACAATTGACAAAGTGTCCACAGAAATTACTCTTACAGGTATATTTTCATTTTCTAATGCAGCATTCTTATTTGTAGAAAAATTTTCTAAAACAGTGTTATGTTAATATTACATTAATACCAATAGCATTCCTTGCTCATTTCATTCACAATAACATATTTTTCCCAAAAATTCTTAGTTACATTATTTTCATTTACCTGCTCAATGTGAAAATGCAAATTTCATCAAAATTGCAGAAGCTAGTGTATATGCAAGTTAATTCTTAAAAATATAAGCTTCTGGGAAGTTGTCTTTAAACGAACTCTTGGAGCTGAGGAGGATCTAGGTAGCTTCCTGTCTGTATTTTACTACTAGAGATTATGCACTGCAGGTATATTTAAGGCATGAAGAAGTAATATACCGTGTTTTTCATATAATAAGGCCGGGTCTTATTTTTTTTTGAGCCCTGAAAAAGTGGCTAGGCTGTTTTTTCAGGGTAACTTAATTCCCCCCTCTTTCATCTTCGGGCGGGCGGCGACGGTTTGGATGTTGACCTCAGCGTTGGTGGGGCACTTCGTATCGGGGTCAACGCAGGCAGTACCATATCCGGGTGTGCAACAAAAGTACTTCCTAACGGCAAGCCCCCTCACCATTCCCCCCATTTCGCATGTTTTAATATAGGCCTTAATTTGGGGGGAGGGGCTTAATTTCATTTCATGCCTATAAAACATGCTGGGACTTCCTATTGGGGGAGGCCGTATTGTTGGAGAAACAGGGTACTTGGCTTGTGCATATCAGGAGAGAAATGACTCCTTTGTGGAGTTAGCTGCATGTGGAACTCCTAGGCACATTTTACTGCAAAAAGGATATGAGATGTGTGTTTGATTGTATTGGTTTTGGCACTTCATTGTGTTTTTGCTTTCCACAGAGATTCAGCTAGAAACCCCGGAAATAATAATGACCCCAGGCCTGAAAAATAAATCCAGACTTCTATGAAAAGGACTATTTAATTCATGTAATGATTGGCAGGAAATTCTTGCTGCTACATAGCCCATATTGTATGTAGAAGCTTGATTTAGATAATTCTAATTTACATTCTTTGACATTGGCATTTTAATTATTTATTCCCCTGGTTACTTTATGCTTTCCATTAGTGCCTCCAGGGTAATTATGTTATATAATTCAAAAAACAGTCCTTTCCAGCCACACACAATCTTTCACAGAGAAGACATGATCTGGAGGTTTCATACTAAATATAGACTCATTTAAATCAGGAGTGTTAATAATTATTAGTTTTAATTTCCACCGGTTTCTTTGAGTCCACTGTAAGTATGTCAAAGTCTGATGATGATGTAGGATTAATATCAGTTACTATAAATGAAATGTTGATTTTGAATTTTTAATCTAGAATTTGTAAGTAAATAAAAATATGATATAACATGTCAAAACATTTTGTACTCTTTTTATTTTTAAAGCTCAATTTAATAAAATAGTAATTATTACATACATAGTGTAATTTAAACAGTGTTCTTGAAATATTTCATATAACAGTTCATGCTGTTTTTCTTTTGCAGTTAAAAAAGATGTTCCACCTTCAGCTATTACCAGGCAAATATGTGGTATTTTGGGAACAATCCGTCTAGTAGCAGGTATGAAACTTTCAGAAGTGAAATAAAATTACAACCAGAAAACTGAAAACTTATTATTCTCCACTGAGTCGACGGGAGAATCCAGAGTGGATAGTCTCATGCCACTTGCTCTGAGTTGAATTCTGAGGACATACTTCCTGATAATGGTCCTCAGTCTCAGCTCATTCAGACATCTCGTCTGAACTTTTGCAATTTTTTCTAATCCCTGGATTCTTTCATTTTCACCAATAAAAAGACAAAACAGCACCGGAACAAGTGGCAGAAACCCCCTAGAAGCTTTCCATGGCTGCAGAAGGGGGTTGGAATCCCTGTTTGATCGATTGTTCAGTCATACTGCCATTACAAATAGTTGCAGCAGCAGTGTTTCCACTTAAGACCGCCAAACGGTTAGGAGCGAGTTTCTAAATCAGCCCTTGAACACTCCGGCACTTGCTACTTTTGTTTCGAGTCACCTGCTCTCTGAGGGCTAGAGGATAGCTGCGGCAGCTGCATGCTGCATAAGACTGCCTTTGGAGCTGGTAGCAAGTCCAGCAATTTGTTTGCAAATCTCTGGCTTGCTGGAAGAAGCTCCAGATTGCTACCACAGCTGCGGAGGGGCTTTCCGGAACTGAAAGCAAAAGCAACTTGTAAGTGCCTGCTTTGTTGCTGAATCAGATTTGGACTAACTGTGAGTTACAGGGAATTTGGGATCAGAATGGACACTGGCGGGGCTGATTGTGAGGGGACTTCCTGCAGAAAGTGCCTCTATCACCTTTGCCTCAGGCCAAAACTAGTAAGAGGCCAGCTGGATCCAGGTCAGCTAAGTCAGAGACTGCAGCCAAGCTTAAGGCCAGAGCTCTTGCTTCCAAATCAAGCACAAACACAGGAGGTTGCAGGGCCCAGTAGCCTACATGTACAAGCTTGGTCTCCTGGGAGTTCTACCAAGCAGTATTTTCAGCAGGGCCTTCCTTTGCCTTCAAACTTCCCAGCTTCTGCTAGTTCTATGGCTGGGATAGCTGTAGCTACTGGAGAAGGTGAACATCTTTTTGCAAGGGCTTTTCCGGAGGCTACCTTCACTCCTATAGCAGCAGGGCTCTGCCTAGGGGAGCCTCAGATTCCAGAGATGCCCTCTTATATGAGAGCTTGGATCTCACAAGCCATTAGATAGGAGATAGCTGCTGAGTTCCAACAGCATCAGCAATTGCCCACATCAATGGCTGAGCATGATTTGCAATCATATCAGGGACTCTATGCTGGTGAGAGGCCACCCTACAATAGGCCTTATTCTCCTCAAACTTTGTTGAGAAGTCAGTCCTCCATCTCGGAGGGGGATCTATGTGACGATAAGGATTTGTCTGAAGATGAGCACCTGAGCCTCCAAAGGCCTATTCCATCCCAATCTATTTAAACCTCTATTCTTCAAGGCTAAGAGCATGGCTTGTCTCAGGAAGGATATCCAAGATAGCCTTCGAGATGAGTTGGATACAGAGGACTTCATCTTTACAGAAAAGACCATGGAGGCAGATGCCAAACCTGTGCCCAAGATGTTCCTCAATGTGATTAGGAGCAGTGGGTCACACCAGGGGTTTACTCCTGACCCAGCAGTTCGGAGACTACATTCTTCAACGTTGACCCTAAGCTACTGGATGCAATTCAGGTTCCAACGATGGACGCTCTTGGAGCGGCCTTGACTTCATCGTCCATGTTGCCACCTGGCGCAGAGGATGTGCTTCAAGCTGAGGAAAGAAAGGAGAAGATGTCTCTTTGCAGAGCACATCAGGCGGATGTCTGGGCCATTAGGGCTTCCATGGCTGCATCTTTCTTCACTCGGGCCCCATTGCGTTGGCTCAAGCAGTTGCAGGAAAGACCTGCTGAAAACTTTCAAGTCCACCAGGACCTTAATAAGATCATTGCAGCTGCCGAATTTACACTGGATGCCACACTGAATGCCGCCAAGTTTTCTTCGAGGGTCATTGCCACTTCGGTCATGGCCCATTGAATGTTGTAGCTCCAGCATTGGAATACGAACAACAAGAACAAGTGGAATTTTGCTTCCACCCACTTCCATGGGGAGAGGCTATTTGGATCAGTTCTTAGTGGAAACCAGAGGCAAGCGAAATATTCTTCCATCTCACGGCAGGTGAGAAGACTCTTCCACCCTTCGCTCAATTTTAGGAGGCCCTCCTTTAGACAGGAGGAAGTTGGGGCAAGCTTTCTCTGACAGCAATGGCCCCTTTTCCCTAGATCCACCTACCACGCAGATAGACCTGTGTTTGGATCCAGGGCAGTGGTGGGATTCATTTTTTTTTTACTATTGGTTCTGTGGGCGTGCCTTGGTGGGCATGGCAAGGGAAAGATACTGTCAAATCTCCAGTCAGATGTGCTATTTTGCCAGTTCTCTGAACTACTCAAAATTTCCTCTACCGGTTCTCCAGAACTGGTCAGAACCTGCTGAATACCACCCTTGCTCCAGGGGCAGGCAGTAGTCACAGGGAAAATGTCCCTTTCGTGGCAACAACAACAGATCCTTCTGACACTCCAAGTGACATCAGGATTCATCTTCCCATAAGGGGCCATTTGGGTCTCTTCACAAATCTTTGGGAGCAGACCATGACAGATGCCTGAATTAGGGGTACGATAAGAGCAGGGTTGTTCCTAGAGTTTACCTCATCCCCCTCCCCCTCCCCAAGATTTTTCATCTGCTGCCCCGTTTCCAGAGGTCCAACAAAAAGGACTCAGCAATCCAGCATTTGCTGGACATTTAGGCCATCCAGCCTGTTCCTGCAGACAAGAGGGGACAGGGCTTCTATTCAATGTTGTTCATCATCCCAAAGGCCTCTGGGGGTGGAGAGTGATTCTCAGTCTCAAGGGACTCAATAGGCATCTGGTCTACAGAAGATTCAAGATGCATTCCCTCCATTCCATTCTGCAAGGATTTGGGAGGGCAACTTCTTGACTTCTGTGGGCCTCAGGGAGGTATACCTCAATGTGCCTCTTCATCCACATCACCGACAATTCCTGCAGTTTTGTTATGCTGGGTGCCATTTTTAGTATATAGCCCTTCCATTCAGCCTGTCATCAGCTCCATGGATGTTTACCAAGATCCTGGGGGCGGTGGCAGCATACCTCAGGGCCTTTCCCATCTGGATCCAGTGCTACTTGGACGATATCCTGATCGAGTCCTCATCGTGCCTGTAAGTGGAGAAGGATCTGCATATCACAATCCCTACAGGATCATGGCTTCTCAATCAACATGGTCAAAAGTCATTTGGTTCCCTCAACTAAGTCCATGTTTGTATCTTTTCAGCCGTCAACTCTGGGACACAAGGTTACGTCTTCAACTGTAGGACGATGGCTAAGGGCTTGTATTGCCAAGGCATGCAAGCTCCAGGCCCTCCCAGTGCCCAGAAAGATTACAGCGCATTGTACCAGGAGCATGGCCATGATGGCAGCTTGGGCGATGTAGGCCTCTGTGGAGGGGATTTGTTGGGCAGCGACTTGGTCATCACCATCACCATTTATCCAGCACTGTAGACTGGACACCTTCACATCTGCAGAAACAGCCTTCAGCAGGCAAGTCCTGCAAGGAGTACATGTCGAGGCAAGGAATCCAGACCAGACCAATTCCTGCCTGTAAAACAGCCAGCTTTGGTATGTCCCACTCTGGATTCTCCTGTCGACTCAGTGGAGAAGGGGCGTTGGTGCTTACCTGACACACCCTTTCTTGGGGAGTTGATGGGAGAATCCAGTCCCACCCTATGGACTGTCTGGTCCAGAGTCCAGGAGGAGTTACCTTCAGCTTAGAGAAGGACAATTGGATTCACTTCACCTTCGTTTCGACTGGGGACCTTTACCAGGGAATCATGTCCTCAGAATTCAACTCACTCTGAAGAGCACATGACCCACTCTGGATTCTCCTGTCGACTCCCCGAGAAAGGGAGTGTCAGGTAAGCACCAATGCCTCTTTTACCTTATTAAAGTCATGTTGCATGTAATCAGTATATCTTACTGTGGCTTAAGTTACAGCAGCATAGCTTTTAATACACATAGAATAATACTTTATTTGCTGACTTCTGAAATGTCAAACAGATTAGAATAGGGTTGTACAATTTTTATATCTCTGAATATCATGCTATATACAAGGTAGACTCATATCAAAAAGATAAAAATGGACATTAATTTTAACATTGCAAAGGAAAGGGAATTATTTGGGAAAATGATATAGGAGGAAGAGAAATCCACTAAACAAACATATTTCGTTTGGGAGAAAAGGAGATATAGCAGTTTTTGAAAATGGTCCAGTGAGGAAGGTTAAGGAGAAAAGAGTGAGGAATCAGAATGACATGATAGCACTAGTCAAATTTAGGGGGAAATGCAGGGTTTTCCTGAGTATCTGGTAATCTGTATGCAGGCTATAGACCCTAAGTTGTGTACCCATTGATAAATATGTATAGCTGGAATGTTTTTTTTTTCATTGAGGGCTTTAGAAATTTGGAATGTTAGCAATTTAGTAGAACCTCAGTTTGTGAATATATTTTTGGCATAGGAAATTCTTGGGGTAAAAGAAAATTAAAGTATAGTTCTTAATACAGGTAGTCCTTATGATCACAATTTAGCCCAAAATTTCTGCTGTTAAGTGAGACATTTGTTAAATTAATTTTGCCCATCTTACACCCTTTTCATAGTTGTTAAGTGAATCGCCACTTAACATTAAATTAGTAATAAAATTGTAACGTGAATCTGGCTTCCCCATTGACTCAGAAGGTCAAAAAAGGTGATAACATCACAGGATATTGAAACCATCATAAATTACCAAAGATCTGAATTTTGATCACATAACCAAGAAGATACTGCAATGGTCATAAGTCACTTTTTTCAGTGCCCTAGTAACTTTGGTCAGTAATTGAATTGTTGTAAGTTGAGGACTACCTATAATGTGTCTGCTTCAAAGAAGGAGGGGTGATCTAACAAATATAATAATAATATGAATAATGAGGAGAAATAAGGGGAAGAAAATGAGTTTTACTCCCTCTGCTCATACTTCTCTCTTTTTTCTTTTTTACAAAAAATGAGACATAAATAATAATCATCAGAGCTGACCATATTTTGTTATTTTACAGGCACATACCTTATTGTAATAACAAGAAAAAGAAAAGTAGGTGAATTTTTCAATCATGTAGTCTGGAAAGCAATTGATTTTGACATCCTCTCTTACAAAAAGACAATGCTACATTTAACTGATATTCAGGTATGAGTTAATATGTTTTGAATGTTTAAACATTTGGTGTAAAATAAGTGAAAATATTTGAATATGTAATTTCTCTGAAATTCAGCAGCTAATCCATTAAAGGGCCTCATCAAAGGGCCTCATGAGGGCAGACTTTTCCAATGCCATTTGAAAAGCTTTCTAGACTAAAATTCTGTGCTATATATAAGAATTTTCATCATAATATTTGCATGTGTGATTTTTGGATCTTGAAAGTTTTCAAAGCCATTCCAAAATGATTGTTTTTTAGTTTTAACTGAAAAGGCTCTTTCACTTTAGAGTAATACAAGATAGCTCTCAACGTACAATCACAACTGAGTCCAAAATTTATGTTGCTAAATGACACAGTTGTTAGGTGAGATTTGCCCCATTTTATGACCTTTCTTGCCATAGTTATTAAATGAATCACTGCAGTTGATAAAATAACATGGTGGTTAAGTGAATCTGTCTCCACTATTGATTTTGCTTATCAGAAGGTCACATAAAATAATCACATGATCTCTGAATACTGCAACCATCATAAATATGAATCAGTTGCAAGTATCTGAATTTTGATCACATGACCATGAAGATGCTGTAGTGGTTATAAGTGTGAAAAATGGTCACAAGTCACTTTTTTCAGTGCTGTTGTAACTTTGACCAGTCACTAAATAAATGGATGTAAGTTGAAGACTAGCTGTAGTTTTTAAGTTTAGATTTTTAGCATTATTATTTTTCAATTTAGCATATTAGGTTGCCAATTTGTATGTGTGAGGGAAAGGCTAAAACTAGGAAACTAGGAGTTCTAGACCCACCTTAGCCCTGAAAGCCAGCTGGATAACATTGAGCCAGTCACTTTGTCTCAACCCAACCCACCTAACAGAATTTTGTTGAGTGTAAATCAGGGTGAAGAGCGAATATTAGGTACGTTTGCCACCTTGAATTATTTATAAAATAATAAAGTAGATGGTCTGGTATGATTATATTTTTAGTTTTTCTGAAGGTACGCATTTCTTTACTGACCCTCATTATAAATGGAGCTGGATCATACTGTAATGTGAGAAGGCTATATTTTTGCCTGTCCAAGAAAAGAAAAACTTTTGAACACTTTATCAAATTTTATAAACTCTTAGTAACAAAAGGGACAAGAATAAATAAGTAAAAATTCTTTTTCATTTATCAGTTACAGGATAATAAAGTCTTCTCAGCAATGATTAGTCATATATTGAGTGTGGATGGATTTTATTTTTCTACAACATATGACTTGACACACACCTTGCAACGATTGGCCAATACCAGTCCAGAGTTTCAAGAAATGAGTTTGCTAGAGAGGGTAAGAATATTTCTTACAAATTTTTTAGAAAAGCAAGACATTATATAGAGAAAAAGTGTGTGTGTTTTGAGTAGATTATCTTTGTTTTTAAACACCCAGTGAAATATTTTTAATGTCATAGTGACCAAGGTAGAATGTTTCAACAAAGCCTGATGGTTTTTAAATTGTCTGTTCAATATTTCTGTGAATCCATAGTTCATTTACTCCATATTCTTACTCTTCTTGTGCATTTTTCTTATGTATATTTCTGAAAAAAATGTGTTAGCTTCTTATTTAGTCATCCTTGGAGATCAGTTGAAATCTTATATCATTTTTCCACTAATTAAACTGCTTCTATTAGGGGGATTGGAAAGTACAGCCATGGTGTCTTCCCAGAAACCTATATACTTCTTTCAGATCTGCTCCATAATATTTAGAGGGCAATCTGAAGCATATTTGGAATAGGAAGCTACAAGAAAAAGAAAAAAGTCCATTACCTGGCAGGATTATATTGTGCATTAAATCCTAATTTGCTTTGTTTCTGATAGCTTTCTGTAATTCTGCTCTGAAATCTAAATCTAACCCAAACTTAGTTTTTAATTGTATTTCTGTTTTTACAGGCAGACCCACGGTTTGTATGGAATGGACACCTTCTTAGAGAACTTGCTGCTCAACCTGAGGTAGTTCATTCTGCTGGGCATAATCTCCAACATGTTAATTTGTATCTTTATAGCTTTCTGTTAATCCTCTTGTAATGTAGTTGGTTGGCATATTTGATTTGTTCATAAATAATTTTCTGTAGCTACAAAAATTAATAAATTTAATCTTTATTGATAGAAATCAGTTAGCATATGGCTCATTGAAAATTTCCATGAGCCTCAAGAGCAGAGGAAAAGATGGGCTGAAGCAATACAGTGTGCTTATTTATACTAGCTTTATCAATCAATTATGCTTAGTATAAAAGTCATTTTTAAAATTTTGAGGCTTGGAGCTCCATGCACCCAAACTCATTCAATCTTGGCAGGGTTCAGTTGAAGTCTGTTGTCCTCCAGTCAGGCCCTCACAATCTCCAGACAACGTGAGAGGCCTGGCTGGAGGACAATAGACTTTGACTGAACCCTGCAAGACCGAATGACTTTGGGTGCATGGAGCCGCAAGATTAGAGACTTTGACATCTTAAGTTCTGGATGAGGCGGCTCTAGCCCAGATGAATCTGGTCCACGACATGGGGATTCTCCTGGGCTTGTGACTCCTGTTCAAAGAGCAGAGGGCACTCACAACTAGGAAAGGATTTGCACAATTTCAGGTTATAAACCAGTTGCGGCCTCTTCTGGATTAGGAGTTCCTGGACTCAGTCATTCAAGCCTTATTCATCTCATGTTTGGATTATTGCAATGCATTCTATATGGGACTACCCTTAAGAGCATTTGGAAGTTATAGATGGTTCAGAGTGCGGCAGCATGGGCAGTTTGGGGGGCCCTAAGGGGGCATATAACACCACTACTCTGTGAGCTGCACTGGCTGTTGGTTTGCTTTTTGGTGACATTCAAAGTATTGGTAATCCCTTTTAAAGTTCTTCATGACATGGGTCCAGGCTACTTGAGGGACTGTCTTACCCCATTTGGATTGGTTCACCTTACCCATGTCGTCAGAGGAGGCATGTTGCAGGCCCCAGTGGCTATGATATTCCACTTGGTGGGGTCCAGTAAGAGCCTTATCTGGCATTGCTCCTGACCAATGGAACAACTGCAAGAGCTTGAAGATCTGAGAGATGCCTTTTAAAGAGTTGAAGTTTCTCTAATCACTCAGAAATAGAATTCTTATCTGCACTCACCTTCAAATTGAAAATGATAAGCTCGGCTATTTAGTATTCAGAATTAAATATTTTTTCCAGTTCTGGGTAAATGTGATGGAGAAAATTCATAACCAAAGAGTCATTGGCAAGTGCGCTGCCTCAGAAATTGAAAGGATGGATGGTGGGTGGGTGGATAGGAGATGAAGATGGGTCAGATTCTTTAAATATATTAACTTTCCTGTTTTTAGCTCCATAGGTTTGCAGTTCCAGTTATGCATGGTTGTATCCTTTTGCTTGCCTGGCATAGAAACTCAGTGGGTATGAGGGATTGCTCTCAGACAAATTCCAGTAAATGATACATAGAGAAAGAGAGAAATACCTTGATGATTTGTAAGTGAAAATTCAGAACTAAACATATTTTTAGTCCTTCACAAGATTGTTACAAGGAAAATTTGGGGAAAGAGTGCTGTGTATGCTCGTTGGACACCTGGAGGAAAGGCAGCATATATATTAAACATCCATGTCTTCGCATATTTACTTATTTTAACCAGACTATCTTCCTATTATGTGGTCCATCAATTTTGATCTTTCAGCTGTCAGACCTGAGCCTTTTTTATTTTAATGTGATATTTTTGTGAACCACAAAAATATTGGACCTATGTTATTGGTTAGGTTTATTTAACATATATATAATTTCTTTGTGGTACATAGAACCATTTGTCTTGTGAGATGAATGGCTATATAAATTTGAAAAATAAATAAAAATTAAAAGATAATGACTTCACCTGCAGAAATTTAATAAGCAGTTTTTTTTCCTAATCCAGTTCTTAGTTATTTGGTGTTCTCTTTCTTCAGTATTCATTAATTATTTGGAACTAGTAAAAAACACCACATTTTTTTCTTATTAAGCTGAAAATGGTGAAAAATGTATCTCTCTCCCTACATTTTAGGATATTTTTTCTAGTTATACTATGTTGAACATTCTGTATTGGAACACAGAAAAATGCCATTTTGTTCATAATATCCACTAAATATTCTAATATTTTTATTTTTTTTCCAATAAGTGTTAACCTGTATTCCTTAATTGCTGTTTTACACTAGTTATTATTATGCATACTAGTTCCATTAATGATAAATATTTCGACTGGATTCTAATTTCTCGAAGAAGCTGTTTCAGAGCTGGTGTACGCTACTATGTGAGAGGTAAGATTTCTTTGCAATTGTTATATGAATATAAGCAAAAATTATACTTTGTGAGTTATTCTCTTAAATTGCCACCCTTTGTCAGTACTAAGAGAGATTTTGCTAGAAAATTCTTGTAGCGCTTTTAATATTTGTGTTGATTTATTTTTTATTGGTTAAGGGTAAGTGGCAAACTGTTATAGATTGATTTTAAGAATACACACACACACACTTATTGCAGGCTTAATTTAAAATGAAGATTAGATTTAATGTGAAAAACTACAATTTCAGATTTCTTCGTAACCAGGAAGCCTAACATTATTGCTGAGCTCTTTGAAAGATGGATGGAAATCAAAATATGTCAATGAACATCTTTCCTTTATATAAATGGATCTGAGGGAAGGATAAGAAAGATAAGAATTCCATTGATGTATTGCAAAAGTGGCATTTAGTGATCTTTATTTTTCCTTGAACAAACCCCTTCTGTGAGTCTGCTACAGTTATCTCATTTTTATCTCATGTTTCTTTCTGAAGTGGCATGCCTAGAAGTCAGTATTACAGTTCTCTGGATTTTTATTATCATTTTGCATGTATAATTGGTAGAGAAGTATTTCCCTTTGTGATTACTTAAACATCATAGTTATAAAACAACTATATCCTATAATAGCATTACCATTAAAATCAGCAAAAAAAAGTAAGAGAACACCTGTCTGATCTTGACGAATACAAATCACTAGGACCTGATGAATTACATCCCTGAGTTCTAAAAGAGCTGACAGATGTCATCTCAGAACCACTGTACCACATCTTTCAAAAATCCTAGAGCACTGGGGAACTACCAGAGGATTGGAAAACAGCTGATGTGGTTCCCATCTTCAAAAAAGGAAAAAAAAAAGTAGACCCAGGAAACTACAGACCTATCAGCCCAACATCAATACCCAGGAAGATACTGGAAAATAAAAAAAAAGGACAGATCTGCCAACCTCTAGAAACAAGTAAAGTCAGCACAGGTTTGTTAAAAACAGATCATGCCAAACGAATCTTATCTCATTCTTCAACATAGTGACTAAATTAGTAGACCAGCGAAATACTGTGGACATAATAGACTTCATAATAGACTTCAACAAGGCATTCAACAAAGTACACCACAATCTACTTCTTGGTAAGCTAGAAAAAAATGGGATAGATAGCATCACCACCAGATGGATTCGTAACTGGCTGACAAACTGTATTCAACAAGTAGTCCTTAAATGGTCTACGTCCACATGGAAGGAAGTAAGCAGTAGGGCACCATAGGGTTCCGTCTTAGGCCCAGTACTCTTCAATATCTTCATAAACGACTTAGATGAGGGAATAGAAAGGGAACTTACAAATTTGGAGATGATACTAAGCTGGCAGGAATAGCTAACACTCTAGAAGATAGGTTCAAGATCCAGATGGATTTTGACAGATTACTGAGCCCTATTTAACAAAATGAAATTTAATGTAGAGAAAAGTAAAGTCTTACACTTAGGCAAGAAAAACCAAAATTACACAAATAGACTGGGTGAAACCAGGCTTAATAACACTGAGAGGGATCCTGCAGTCTTACTGGACAACCAGCTAAATATGAGCCAGCAGTGTGCAATGGCAGCCAAAAAAGCCAATGGAATCCTAAGTTGCATTAACAGAGGGATACAATCAAGATCAAGTGAGGTACCAATACTCTATAAAGCCTTAGTAATACCACACCTAGAATGCATTCAGTTTTGGTCACACACTATAAAAAAGATGTTAAGACTCTAGAAAAAGTGCAGAGAAGAGCAACCAGTATGATTAGGGGACTGGAGACTAAAACATATGAAGAATGGTTACATAGCTAGTCTAGTGAAAAGAAGAACCAGGGGAGACATCATAGTAGTGTTCCATTTTAGTGTTCTATTTTCTAACGCACCTGAAGGCCAGACAAGGAATAATGGATGGAAACTGATCAAGGAGAAATTCAACCTAGAAATAAGGAGAAATTTTCTGACAGTGAGAACAATCAACCAATGGAAAAGCTTGCCTTTGGAAGTTGTGAGAGCTTCATCACTGGAGACTTTCAAGAAGAGATTGGACTGCCACTTGTCAGAAATGGTGTAGGGTCATTGTTGAGGTAATTCCCCGTTAGGAGAATGAGCGCATACAGGGAGACATAGTGAGAGTGGTGAAGAATAACATACAAACAGCACACAACTACACTGTATAGCAAAATGTAGGTTTTTACTTCCAGTAAAACAGTTAAGCAATGTTCAAACAAGCAGTCCAAGTCATTCACAGTTAAAGCAGTCAGTTTTCAGACCAGGGATAATCCAAATAACAAAGTCCAGTATCAAAAACAGTTCATTAACAGACTTACCTCAAATCCAAGAATAACGGTCAATAAGGAAAAATGGAGGTACAGCAACACTCTCCAGAAATACCAGAACAGAACTAAAACAACCCAGGTTTCTGGCTCCATCTTATGGCCATTTGAGGAACCACACCCAATTACAGTTTTAGCATTCTCTTAAAGAGACAGTATTAAAATGTCTGTCCTGGTTTATATATTTTCCAACCCAACTATTAGGTGATTTACATTCCTAACATTCTCCCCTTTGGGTAGGACAACATATACAACCTTACATTCTAAGTCCATAATCCTCACAGCAAGCCTTATGCTTTACAGAGCCTTCGGCTTTTGTAAAATGATCTGCGATGTTATTTTCTGACGTACAGTATACCAGCTTAATCATCTTACTTTGCACACATTGTCTCACATTTAAATATCTTAAATCTGTGTGTTTTGTTCTTGTCTTAAGAGCAATATTTGAAAACATTTGTATTGCTGATTGGTTATCTTCATAAACAATAGAATCTGTTACATCAATTCCCATGTCAATTAATAGTTGTTTATAACAAACTAAATCTGTACATAATAAAGACAAACATGAGAATTCAGCCTCCATTTTTGACAAACTTAGATGTTTCTGTCGAATAGATCTCCATCCAATCAACACCTTTCCCAATAATACTACAGTACCTGATGTAGATTTACGTTTATTTATGTCTGTAGCAAAACTTGCATCAACATATGCAGTTAAACTCAGTTCATCTTTAGGCTCCAAATACAATGCATAAGATATCGTAACACACGTTTAGCAGCTTTCCAGTGCCTTTCATTTGGCTCAGCGTTAAATCTCACTAATTGGTTAACACAGTTTGCTATATCTGGCCTTGACCAATTACTGAGATAAGATAAACTACCAATCAAGGACTGATAAATGTTCTTATCAAAAACAGGACTTTGAACATCACTACAGCTAAATCCTGGCTCATTGCTGTTTTAGCTGGTTTACAAAGTTCCATTTTAAAACTTTTTAGTAACTGGTTAATTGTATCTGTCTGTGAGATTTTGTATCCTCCCCTAGTTTTACCTATCTTTAATCCAAGATATTGTTTAATTTCTTCTAACGGTTTTATCTTAAATTTCTTCTCTAACAGATATTATTTTAGTAGCTTCTTGTTCAGTTTTGGTGATTAATGCTATGTCATCAGTAAACAATAGCAACAATGACACTATACCATTACTTTCCTTTTTAAACAAACATGGATCAGCCATGCCAGCTACAAAACCTGTCTTAGTTAATTCTTTAACTATACACTGGTTCCACTCATATCCTGATTGCTTCAAGCCATAAATACTCTTTTTCAATCTCCAGCAATCAGTTGTATTATCATTTTTGATACCTAAAGGTTTCTTTAAATATATAGTGTGTTGCAACAGTGCATGCAGATATGCCGTTTCTATATCTAAATGATTTAGAACCTATTTCTCTTTACCTACCCACACTAATGCTGCCCTTAATGTAGTAGCCTTCAGACTAGGTGCAAACACCTCATTGTAGTCGTTTGCTGTCTGATTGAACCCTTGTGCTACTAACCTGGCTTTATGGGTAACGGTCCCATCTACACTAGTCTTAAGTTTATAAACCCATTTACATCCTATGGCATATTTACCAGATGGTAACTTAACATTTTCGTATACCTCCAACTTTTTTAATGATTTCAGTTCCTTATCCTTTGCTTCCTGACAAGCAGCCTGATCCTTAGCAGGATACAGTTTCAGTTCATTATAATTATTTGGAACTGTATTCACTTGGCATGGTGGTGAAGAATAACACACAAACAGCACACAGCTACACTGTATAGTAAAATGTCGGTTTTTACTTCCAGTAAAACGGTTAAGCAAAGTTCAAACAAACAGTCCAAGTCATTCACAGTTAAAGCAGTCAGTTTTCAGACCAGGGATAATCCAAATAACAAAGTCTAGTATCAAAAATAATTCATTTACAGACTTACATCAAATCCAAGAATAACAGCCAATAAGGAAAAATGAAGGAATGGCAACACTCTCCAAAAACACCAGAACAGAACTAAAACAACCCAGGTTTCTGGCTCCATCTTATGGCCATTTGAGGAACCACACCCAATTACAGTTTTAGCATTCTCTTAAAGAGACAGTATTAAAATGTTTATCCTGGTTTATATATTTTCCAACCCAACTATTAGGTGACTTACATTTATAACAGCCATGATTGTGAATCTATGGTATGTGTGCCAGAGGTGGCACACAAAGCTCTCTCTATGGACATGTGCACCATTGCCCCAGCCCAGCTCTATCAGGTTTCTACATTGTGGTTCTCATCGTCGTTTACAGGGAATCAAAAATTTGTGGGACTAAAAAAAAAAAATTAACTCAATCAATTCCAACTTCTTCCGAAAGACAAAGATCTCGCAAAGTTGGAATTGATTGAGTAAACTTTTTTTTATTCCCAACAAACTTTTGTTTCCCTGCACACAATGGTGAGAAATGCGACAGAGAAACGCAGCAGAACTGGAAATCAGGTAGGCAAAGAATGATTGGGAGAAGCAAGGTCCTGCGTGATAGTGGGTGCGGTAAGCTCTGCAGTGCAGTGCTGCAATGGTGAAATGAAGAACAGAGTGGCCCTCTCTTCTCCCTGCTGCTCCTGCTTGGGAAAAGTGAAGGTATCTAGGTGGTGAGTGGTAAAAGCTCTGTAGTGTGGTGCTGCAATGGCGAAATGGACAACAGAGTGGCTGGTACAAGGTGAGGAAGCTGCTTTCCCTCTCTTCTCCCTGCTGCTCCTTCCTCCCTCATGCTGGCAGCTCCATTTCCCGTTTCTACATAGCAGCGCAGTGCTCAGGATCCACTTTGATAGCATGGGGGGTGGGATAATTTTCCTGGCCAAACTAAACCCGCTGTCTCCCCTACATTGGGCTCAGCTTTGATTGGGTCATTCAGTCAGTTGATGGCTCTGGTGGCGGCTCTTGTGGCGATGAAGAAAACAGCCCTGCCTCACCTCGCTGCACCTCCTGACACCAAGCATATCCAGCCGTTCATGGCCTTTCCTTTGTCTTTCTTTCTCTCATGGATCACCGTGTACAAAAAAACCAACCAAGCCGCCCACTATAGCCAAGGCCATCCCACTAAACAAGCAGTAGCTGTGGTGGTGGCGGTGGCAGCAGAGTGTAGGGCAGAGAAGTGAAGAGTATAAATTAGTAACTACCCATATTGTACTTTTCAACCTTAGGCAATCATAGTATTTGGCTGAATCTGTGGGAGAAAGATACTGGGTGTGTTTGTGGAATAAGCATATTTCTTTATTGAAACCGCTCATGAGACAAAGAAGCAGAACAAAAAAGGCTATCTTGTATACAATGCATTCAAAGCATCCCTAACCTTGTCTTTTTCTGCAAGATACAGGCCATGTACAAATAGCTTTGCCCTTCCCCCTTTCTTGTTTTGAATTTCCTGTCCAAAGCTAATTGGATTTTTTAGCTTGGAACCAAAAGTATCTAGGCTCAGACTGTCCCTTCTGTCCCGGACAGGACATTTTATGGTGATACAGTTTTCTTTTAGATAAATAATTAATGGGTATTTAGTTATGAGGAAGGCGATGTCTCTTTCAATAATAAAACTATTTTAACAAGAAATAAAAATATAGAGAGAAAATTGGGATAAGAAAATGAAGAGAAAAACCAAGAAATTATATTACAAACATTTTTCTTTTTGTTGCTAAATGTAATATTTCAAAAGCAGAAAAAAAATGAAGGGGCATAAAAGTGCATTTAGCTTATTTATCATTATTTTAGGTAGTAAAACCTAAATTCAGGTTAAGTTGCTGTGTTGGCACTTTATGATAAATAAGTGGGTTTTGGGTTGCATTTTGGGCATTTGATTTCAAAAAGTTTGCCATCACCGGTGTAGGGTCTTCTGCTTGATTGGGGTGGGGGGGGGTTGGCCTAGATAACCTACAAAGGCCCTTCCAAGTCTGTTAACCAGTAACCTACCATTTTAAAGAGTCCTATCATACACTTTGGTTTTGTTGGATCAGTTTTACTGTATGAAAGCTGTCACAAAAATGGCTTTCAATTAGATTTGAAAGTAACAAGGGTTGTTCTATATTTTAAATGCTTCATGTTTCATAGGTATTGATTCTGAAGGACATGCAGCTAACTTCGTAGAAACGGAACAAATTGTACATTATAATGGAAACAAAGCTTCTTTTGTCCAGGTAATTTGTATTATGCTGTGATGCTTGTCTAGTCTGTCTACATTTTATCTTACAATAAATTGACTTGGAAGTTCTGTTTTTGTTGTAAGTTTCACTTATTACCTTTGTTTTCCAGACACGAGGATCAATTCCCTTTTTCTGGTCACAGAGACCAAATCTCAAATATAAGCCAAAGCCACAGATCAGCAAAACAGTAAACCATGTGTGTATTTTCTATCCTTTTTCCTGTCTGTAGAAGAGGTGTAATATACAGTATTCCTATACCTATGCAAATTGCCTTTAGTTGCTTAAGCAATATTTAACTTCAGGCTGCAGTTCCCAATCTTTATATGGCTCACTATGTCAATATGAGAAAACTTTGAAAAATATCCTGCACACCAGGAGTTTGCAGTGTCAGACCTGCAACAGCATGGCATGCTAGTCTTTCTTGAAGATGATGTTTGCAGATCTCCAAAATTAAATAAATATTAATTGCTGAAAAGATGTTGAAGTTTCATGAGATTGCTGACTCATTATGTATGTATATGTGTACATGTATGTTTTTTTCTTAATATAAAATACAAAATTTAAATTACTAAATTTTAGAAAGTAATATTTATACCAGAAAAAATTCTTCTCATCCAATCATGTACTGTCTTTATCAAAAAGTTTCTTTCCCTCACAAAATGCACTTTACAAATCCAAAACGACAATAAAAAGACTTGCAGAGGAAAAAGAACCTCCCAATTCATTAAAGGTCCACAGCTGTTAATTTGTAATTAACTTAAGACAATCTAAAGAAAAAAAAAACAAAATGCAAGCGTGTGTGTGTGTGTGTGGTATTCAGCTTTGTTCGGGTATTTTCCCATGCTGTCATAGTTGTGCTTTTAAAGTTGTAGCAACATTACGGCAGAATCTCATCTGCCATCATCAGGCTTCTGTATAGTGTTTGAACGACGAACACAATACCGAAGCCAGATGATGGCAGATGAGATTCTGCCGAAATGTTGGTACAACTTTAAAAGCACAACTATAATGACGTGGGAAAATACCTGAACAAAGCTGAATACTATACATATAAATACCTGTGAAAACTTAACACACACACACACGCACACACACATATACGCACGCACACACATATACATATATACATACATACATACATCCTTATCCTTGAAATTAGGGAATTCAGTGATACTAAATATTTTTAATATGTCATCATTATCTGTCTCTTTAAAGCGATGTTCATTTTGTGAGGCCCCAAAATAGTAGCCCAGTTACTTATAAAGCTATTTACATTGGGTGGCTGAAGTTTCATTTGTGAAACTATTGCTATTACATGTTTTTTGGCTGTAAATATCTTCTGTTTCCAATAGTATTTTCCACAAACTTGGAAGGGTTTTTTCCCCCAATCTTTTCCAAAAGGACATCTTCCAATTATGTTGTACGTGCCACTCTTACAAGCTGAAATTCAATGAGTTATAATATTAAACATATTAGCAGAGTGATTTTAAATCAATAAAATACCCCCAAAACTTGCTCTCTGCAGTAAAAGTTTTAAATTGATGTTAGAACTAGAGATTTTTCTCATTGCCCCCATCCCCATCTCCATCCCCAAGACTTGTGGCAGATAAATCTGTCACATCAGAGACAAATTTGTGGAGGAATTAAAAGAACAAAAGTTTAGTTGAAGATTTATTTCATAACCTAACTGCCATGAATATACTTGTCCACGGAGAAATGCTACCATATCTTACATTTGTGTAAAAAATGTACAATTTAATTCAAATGCAATTCAATATATATTGTGTTCATTGTAATATTTCTGTTATTTTCTTGTATCAGTTTGTATTTCTGTTCAAAAGAATTCTTATAACAGCTGTTCAATATATGTATTGTACTCTCTTTTAGATGGATGGCTTCCAAAGACACTTTGATTCACAGATTATTAGCTATGGAAAACAAATGATTGTTAATCTGGTAGGATTTTAATTCTACATCCAAGAATTCATGTTGTTGCTGATGCTGTATGTAACTGTTTTGTGCTTCCTTTACAGGTTAACCAGAAAGGCTCAGAAAAGCCTCTGGAACAAACTTTTTCAAAAATGGTAACTGGTTTAGGAAATGGAATGATCAAGTATGTATTAATGGAATGTGCTTGCATCACTTTCAATATACTTGTTGATTTAGAGCATTTAGTAAAGTATCTGTATAGTCAGAGATATGTGGATGACATGTATTTTAGAGCAGCACAGATTTCTTTTAAACTTTATTTAATTTTGCAAACAACATAAGGGGTTACGGTATAGTTTGCTTTGGAGAGCAAAGATTTTCCTTCATACTATGGCACATAAGCAAAAACTTTTTTTTTCTGAACATAATGCTAATGTGTGTCCATGTCCCTTCAGACTTCATTATTGCCTACAAGGCTTCTTCCCTTAGAGAAGCATACTAAAAATAAAATTTAAGATTTTCGCTTTGTGCTATAGTTTCCTGTTTATTCCTCCCATTAAACACATACATTTTTTTTCTAATCATGTTGTATCCCCTGAAAATGTTTTTAGAAAATAAATGTGAAAGGGAGCTGTTGCTTCTTCCTTTTTTGGGGGGAAGTATGCCTACCTAACCAAAAAGTTACAGACAGGTCTCAGGTGAGAAAGTAGTAGAAAGCAATGTAGAGTAAATCAGTGTTCTCTAACCATAGTGGCAGAACATTATGGACAAGAAAAGAAAGTAAAGAAATAAAATCTCATTGGCTGGAAACTGGTCAGTGATAGAATAATTACACCTCGTTTTGTGAGCTTTAATTATTTGACATTTGGACATGTCAAAGCAAATGTTATACAAACTTATGCACCAACAGATAACTTAAACAATATGATGAAGGACAAACTTTAAAGACAACTACAAGATATTTTTAACAGCATTTCAAATTATGAGTTAAGGATCCTGATTAGGATGCTCGATTTGGAGGTGATTAACACAGCTTAGGGAAGGTGATTGAAGCACACAAATCTTCAATTCAGCTCAGTAATAACGGAGAGTGACTGACATCCTTGTCATGGACTCTCTATTAGAAACACATACTTCCAACATTCACAAATCCATAAGATTACCTGGCAATCACCGGATGGTTGTCCTTTCAATGAAATCAATTTTATTTATATTATTTGGAAGTGGAGATTGTCTCTCCATGATAAAAGAATATAAAGAGGGGCAGACATTGAAATTACTACTGGAATTAGACAAGGCTGTATTATATCACTGCTCCTCTTCCTTGTGGCCCTTGACTATATTATGTGACAAACATCACAGATCAGGAAAAGCATTCATTATTCTGACTAAAACTGTCTTGGTGACCTGGACTTTGCAAATGATATTGTCCTGCTTGAGGAAGACAAGACAATACGTCAAGTGATAATTGCCTTAAATGAAGAAGCAACCAAGATTGGCCTCAGGATAAGTGCCAAGAAATCAAAGATCATGTATGTTAGTTCCATGGCATAGATAGAGGGGATCAAACTCAAATTACAGCGAAGAAGTAGAAATAGTTGGGTTAGTGTAATCTCCAAAATGGAGAGATCCAGAGATGGATATCAAGTATCACGTTGAAAAAACAAGTTATTTTTCAGAAGATGAATAAAATCTGGTCCTCATCATCTATGTCATTAAACTTAAACTCCATTTACGCACTTCTATACTGATTCTGACAATCATTTAGGCAAGCAAGAAGGTATTAGTAATGTTCTGACCCAAACCCTTTTCTAATAAGACAAACAATAATCAAAGGGAACAGAAACCTTTTAATGAGTCTTACAATCCCTGGTTAAAAGGCTGCTGCAAACTAACTAACTTTGATAAGCACAAACCTTGTCAAAACTGTAGGAGACTGCCAAGAATCACAGATAAAAGATATTTCACAAGAGTCCAACTTAGGATACTGTAATGTCCACAAGGCTGAGTTTCAAAACATCTTTGCTTCCTGCAAAGAACGTTCGTGGCTGGCTTTTATCTTCTTGAAGGAGGGGCCAGTACCTTGCAGCCTTACTCCCGAGTTGCCCATGCTGTTGCAGCTACTCTCTCCTGTGAGCAATCCTGCGCGCAGGCCTCATCGTGCTGCTGCCAGCCCCCACAATCTCTGAAGGCAGCAGTCTACTCCCTAATGGTCCTGGCCCCTCATCTAAATCCTCACTCTCAGCCATCCGCACCTGCTGCCAGATAACCACAACAAGTATTAACAGATTTGACATCGTCCAACAAAGATTCCTTTCATGAATCCTAAAGATATATGCTATTTTGACTACATTATTAATGAAGAAATGCTTCACAAAGTTTATTAGGCAAACTACATACAGAAGACTCCAACTTGTACATCATATTATCGGCATAGAAAACAGATCTTCAAGGTGGAAATGAGATAGACTCCCCCTCCTGATGACAAATGACTAACAGCACCCTTGAAATACATGGCAGAAAATATTCATGGAAGACTTAAAGATTCTATAAACATCACATGAGCAGTATTTGCCCAAGACTGAAAATTCCTTGCTGCTCAATATATTGCATATAGCATGGGAAGATCTAATGCTAATGACCATTATGGAAACCATTTGGTGATTGTACTGGTAACATCCATGTTAAAAATCTATCTCCCTAAAAGCTTTATAACCCCCATGGGGAAGCAGTAAAATCCCCCAAGATGGGATAGGAAGATGTAAGATATAGGCATCTTAAATCTAAGATGATGGCAGCTAATGTTTCATTCAGGGGTGGAGACAGGAATTCCTATAGGAACTTCCAAGATAAGGGAAAGCTTACAATTAGAAATTCTGACTGCACTATCAGTAAGCCTAAGGTAAAAGTAAAGGTTCTCCTTGCACATACGTGCCAGTCGTTTCTGGCTCTAGGGGGTGGTGCTCATCTCCGTTACAAAGCTGAAGAGCCAGCGCTGTCCGAAGACGTCTCTGTGGTCATGTGGCTGGCATGACTAAGTGCCAAAGGTGCATGGAACGCTGTTACCTTCCCACCAAAGTGGTCCCTATTTTTCTACTTGCATTTTTTTTACATGCTTTTAAACTGCTAGGTTGGCAGAAGCTGGGACAAGTAACAAGAGCTCACTCTGTTACATGTGCTAGGGATTTGAACTACAGACCTTTCTGATTGACAAGCTCAGCATCTTAGCCACTGAGCCATTGCGCCCCTATAAGCCTAGTATCCTATCATTTTCAGTAATGTAATCTTTAGAAGTTTTTGTTTTTGTCCAAAATAAAAAACAAAACTGTAGCCCATTCATGAAGAGTAAAGAATACAAAATGTTATATGTGAAAGTTATTTTTAAAAATTCAGTGCTTAATATCATTAATGTTTCTTGAAGAACATTCCTTAACCTTACCTGTATAACCTTGCTATCCAGTATAAATTTTCACTGTGTCTAAAATAAAATAAAAGTTTAAAAATAGTTATATAGGTGTTGTATTTTGAAGGAAAATCTTACCACTACTTATTAGAAATTGCCCAGAAAATTTATTTTTTTTAATGTCTATATGATTCTTTAATTTAAATACTAGCCAATGCTTGTTTTATTCACGTGTTTTTTCTTTATCCAGGTATATAGCCTTTGATTTTCATAAAGAATGCAGTCATATGAGATGGGATAGACTCCAAATTTTACTGGATCAACTTGCTGCACCTCAAGATGAATATGGGTAATATATGCATCTGAAATACAGTAAGCAAACATATTGTGAATAGCTGAAGCTGTCTAATAATAGCAAGTGCCTGATGTGCCTGTTTTCTGCCAAAAAAAACCAACAACCCCTCACTCTTTTCATAATGTTTAAATATTATGATCTGAGGATACATTTATATAGGCTGTAATAGAAAACCCTGGGTTATTATTGACAAGAAAGCATATCCATTTGAATTTGTATAGGATTGTGATCCAAAGGATCTCATTATCTTTTGTAATCTTAAGAATGTAAAGATTTGTCTACACTTTTGTCATATAATGTATTGTTTATGTCAAATGTATAGATAAATCTGGATATATTTGAATTTGCAAAAAATAATTGTTAGGAAGTTAGCTAATTTCATTTTAATCTAGAAAATATAAATAGTCTTCCATTAAAAAATGGCTTAATGCTTATTTCCAATTGCTTATAGATTTGTAAATAAGCAGGCCTTGACCTACAATTGAGCACAAAAATTCTATTGCTAAATGAGATATTTATTAAGTGAATTTTACCCCATTTTACAAGTTTTTTTGCCACAGTTAATAAGTGAATCACTGCAGTTGTTAAGATAGTAACACAATTGTTAAGTGAACCTTGTGTTCCCATTGACTTTACTTGTTAGAAGATCACAAAAGATGATCACAAAACTCTGGGGCACTGCAACAGTCATAAATATGAGTCAGTTGCCTTTATTTTATTTTTATATTTTATTATTTTTGTCAGTTGTCTATATTTTGATCACATGATCATGGGGAATACAGCAATGATTGTATGTAAAATGGTCATTAGTCACTAAATAAACTGTTCTAAGTCAAGGATTACCTATTTGCAAACCTATAAGCAATTGGAAATAACCATTAGGCCATTTTTCTAATCTGATATAGTATATATTTAACCAAGGAAGCTCTTGAGAAAGACAGAGTTGTATATTTAAACCAAAGGTCTTCAAACTTGGCAAGTTTAAGATTTGTGGACGTCAACTCCCAGAATTCCTGAGCTAACATGACTGGAGTTGAAATCCACAAGTCTTAAAGCTGTCAAGTTTGAAGACCCCTGATTTAAACTATGTTCATTGTATTTACATATATAGTTAGATCTAATTTAGAATAGAATAGAATAGAATAGAATAGAATAGAATAGAATAGAATAGAATAGAATAGAATAGAATAGAATAGAATAGAATAGAATAAGATTCTTCATTGTCCAAGTGTGATTGGACACAAGGAATTTGATGCATATGCTGTCAGTGTACATAAGAAAAAATAAAATACATTCATCAAGAGCCATAAGATACTACACCTAGTGATAGTCATAGATTACTAATAAGCAATCGAAACATACTAGGAAAACAAATAAAACAATATAAATTGTAAAGATACAAGCAACATGGTTATAATAAGTGGGAAGAGATAAGTAATAGGAAGGATGAGAAGAAGAATAGTAATACAGTCTTACTAAATAATTTAACAGTGTTGTGGGAGTTAGTTGTTTAGCAGAGTGATGGCATTCAGGAAAAAAAACCTCCTTATGTCTAGTTGTTCTGGTGTGCAATGCCCTATAGTGTCATTATTGCTGTTAGTAAGATACAGTGGAGATTTATTTGGCAGACAAAAATGAAATCAACTGATATTTTTTATTAAGGCAGTGACTATAATTTCTTTGTTTTGGTTCTGTGGATACATTAGCCAAAATAAGTGTTATTTTGTGAATTCTTGCACAAAATAATAAGCAGATTGTTTTGTTATTCAGTTATTTTCTAGTTGATGCAGAAGGGAAGGTGGATATGCAACAAGAAGGAATATTCCGCAGCAACTGTATGGATTGCCTGGACAGGACAAATGTGGTTCAGAGCCTTTTAGCACACCGTTCTCTACAATTACAGCTGCAGGTTAAAATTGCCTTCAGTATAAAGACTTCTTGCTTATATTTTAAGAATTAAAAAACATAGTAACTCTAATAGCCATTTGGTATATAAGATATACTTTTCCTGAAAATGATATATTAGAACATGAAAATTGGTGTTTTTTGTAACATTAATTAGTTCTAATTTCCATGCTTTTAAACTCTTCACAGAATTTTAATTAATAATGGTTTCTTTTGTCCTTGTAGAGATTAGGTGTTTTGCATGCTACCCAGAGACTTGAAGAACAAGCAGAATTTGAGAAAATTTATAAAAATGGTGGGTTTCTATATTTGATAAGTAAAACCTTATCCTATATTCTACTTACTTGCCATCTCTTTTTGACAAAACACTATTCTCTGTTCGTAGCATGGGCTGATAACGCAAATGCTTGTGCCAAACAATATGCTGGAACGGGTGCCTTAAAGACAGACTATACCAGGCAAGTTTGAGCCAGCCTTTCTTTACCACAAATATATTGATAAAATTTCAGAAAGAATATTTAGATTTACTGATTTATTAAACTCAGTTATCATAGTATAATAGTGTAATAGTTAATAGCTGCAACAATGGAAAAACTTGAATTAGAATGGGCATACTTTGTCTAACCAGCCTAATAGGTGTCTTAAAGCAGCTTATGGCAACTAATGATTACTAATAAAAACACACAAAAGATCCAGGGAAAAAAAGAATCCTAGTAAAATTGGTCTTATTGCCACTTAATCTAAAGATACATCTTCCATTGGGTTAACATTTGAATGGCTAAAAACTTTTTCAAGATTCTTACTTCTACTCTTAGTTATTCTTGTTTAAACCATCAATGGAAATATAATATTTATCATCTCAAGAAGATAATTGTTTATATAGGAGCTACTAAATAATTAAATTCATAACTAAATTAAATCACTGTAGGGATTCCAACATAATAAACATTTCTGGATACGTTTTGCATAAACAAGAATGGGCTATTATGAAATAAGCACCAGCAATCTAGGCTTTGATATAAATTTGAAGAAGAGGAAGACAGTTTTCTCAAAAGGATCTAGGAGAACTTGGCGATGTCAGCTTGCAATGACTAGTTCGCCACCACCAAGCTTCTGCCAATTTACCTCCATCAAATCCTTGCATGATAACAGCCAATTTGCTGCAGGGAAAACTCGCCTTGGGTAGCTGGAGGAAGAGCTGGGCATGTGGGCAGTTGGGGAGGTGAGTGAGCAGGTGGGCAGAGTGCAGAATAGTGGCACTGGCCAGGGATTTCCCATCTGAAGGGGAGCTGTGTAGGTGGGTGAATGAGTGAGTAGAGAGCAGTGGTGGCAGTCGGGCTTCCCGTTTTCACATACGCACATGGTCGCTGCCGCCACACCAAGATCCAGGCCATTCGAAATTAAGGCATGTGGCAGTGGTGATGTTTGGTCAGAACAAGCAGCAGGAAGGCAGCAGAGGCCAAGCGCTTCCCTTTTCACACACACATACAACTGCTGCCTTTGAACAGCCTAAACACCAAATGGCCCAAATATCAAACACAGACAAACTCTGTGCAGCAGGGGTGGGGGTTGTGAAAAAGGGACTGTTGCCATCTCCCTGCCATCGACCTCACCTGCTGCCATCCCTGAATGGCCTAAACACCACTGTCACTAAGCAGCCCATGGAGATGGCTGCAGGATGTGTACAAATGGGACACGCTTGGCCTCCGCTATCTCCCCACTGCCCACCCTGCCCACTGTTATCCCTGAATGGCCTGAATACCACTGCCACTGCTAAATGGCCCAAAATCCGAACAGTCCACAGTTTAATGTAGCAGCAGCAGTGACAGCAAGTGCTGTGAAAATGGGAAGCCGCTCGTGCCACTCTGCTCATCTCACCCATCCACCCAACTCTCCCTCTGGTGGGAAGCCCCTAGCCATCGCCACAGCTCTGCATTCTGCCCATCTGCTCGCTTGCCTGCCTGGCTTTTCTTCCAGCTGCCCGCAGCGAGTTGTCCCCGTGGCGAATTGGCTATGTTGAGCTGTCCTGTAATGACTTGGTAAATTGGCAGAGGCAATTTGGCAATGGCGAGCTGGCCATGCCTAGCTGTCCCATTATATTCTCAAAGGGCCTATTAAAATTTCCAAGGGCTTTGTCAGGAAATGTGTTGGTTTCTCTTTTGATTGAAAGCAAAAAGAAAAATTCTCTCACTTCAAAAACAGATATAATTATAATAGCTTAAATAAGACTCTTCCCTTTTAATCATGAAGGTATCCCCTATTGCAAGAGCAGTATAAATAAAATTAATGCAAGTAGTTCTTAACTTGCAACCACAATTGAGTCCAAAATTTCAATTGCTAATCAAGACAGTTGTTAAGTGTGTTTTGCCCCATTTTATGATCTCTTGCCACAATTTTTAAATGAATCATTGCAATTGTTATTAACATAGTTGTTAAATGAATTTGGCTTTCCCATTTACTTTGCGTGTCAAAAGGTGATCACATGATCCCGGGACATTGCAACCATTATAAATACATGTCAATTGCCAAGGATTCAAATTATGATCATGTGACTATGGGGATGCTGCAATGGTCGTCAGTGTGAAAAATGATCATAACACACTTTTTTCAGTGCTACTCAGAAGATTACTAAATGAATGGTTGCAAGTCAAGGGCTACCTGTAATGTGCACATCTCACTTGTATATTTTCAAAACTAAGTTGATGCACGGAATTTCAATACAGTTCAGTTTTTAATATATAAGTACTTAGTACTAAATTTCTGACTTCTTGAAAGATCTTCTGTATTAATGGTGAAATCCTATTTTCAAAAATTCAGAACTGGAAAGAGAACACAATGGGGCCTATTAATGGATGGTTGGAACTCACTAATTCGTTACTATAAAAACAACTTTTCTGATGGATTTAGACAGGTAAAGTTTGACACTGTCACTTGCTGCATTTATTTAGCTTTATGTTGCCTTGCGTTGAATTTAAAAGAATGTCATCACTCTGCTCAGGGATATGTAATATTTATTTATTTATATTCCATATTTCTAAATCACCTACTGTAAATCCTTCAAAGAGCTGCTGCTGCTTTGTTAAATTGTTGCAAATTGGGCTGCGTTTTGAAGACCATAAAGTACTTGAGGGTAGGCAGGAAATGGTTAAGGTAACATGGCATTTAATTTATATTCTGGATTATTTTTCAGGATGCTATAGATCTCTTTCTTGGAAATTATTCAGTGGATGAAGTAGATTCTCTCAGTCCTTTTCACGTACAGAAAGACTGGAAGTTTTTGGCTGTAAGAACTTTATAAATGTTTATAAATTTGTTTATTTTTTTAAAAGCATTTTTGAATTTGGTTAGACTAATGACATTTTGGGATTACAAATCTTTCAGCACTTCCAAAGGTTGTTTGATAGGTCATAGGATTTAAATATTCATTGTGAAAGAGAATCCCAAAGATCTGAAAAGTCTCATTCTTTTTCCTAAGGGTTGAGAATTATGTAGAAATTCAAACCGTTTTGGAGATGAAGTTTAAGTCTTGCAATAGCCTGGTTTAGGCTGCCATATCTTGGCTTCCTATCTACTAACATGTCATCTGCTTTACAAGATATTTCTACTCTATCAACCCCCAACCATAGCTCGTGAATTCCGAGCAAGGCAATATTTGAAAGAAAGTTTAAAACCGTAGTATATATATATCTTGGTATATGACTTGATTATCATAGCTTTGTACTTTGTATTTAAATGTGTTGTATAGTTTGCTAATGGCAAAGGATAGCAATTAGAATTTTAGAAATGATTTTAAATGTTAAAAAAGGGATTAATGCACTGAATGCAGCTCTTTTTCCTCTCAGATTTTTTCCATCCAGCAAATTTATGAGATTAAAAAAAGAAATGTAAATTTCTTGTTTAGTAATTTGAGAGAAAATTCACATGTCAAAAAGCTGCACTTAGGATTGTGGGCAATAGTAATTCAGCAGTCTTTTAATTTGTGTTTTTAATAAGCTTAATAGAAAAAGCAGAAATAAAATAAACGGAGTATAGCGAGGCTAACAAACTTTTTATAGTCAAGGCCTCTTTTAAAAAAAAAAAAAGTCTAAAGAAGTTGAGAAGTGATTGTGGATAAAAGTTTGTACCTTTTTTTGAGAGAGAAAGAGAATAAATCTTAAAGAGTCTGTTTTGCTATTCTACTTTTTTTTAAAAATAAATGGTACTGGTAAATTTTTTGCAACATTCAGGTTGCCAGTCCCTGTGTTATAGGATGGAAATGACAAGAGGACATAAGGATGGAGTTACAGGGCAAGCTTCTTATTTGTTGACCATCTCCACTTTTTTGTTTAGTTTAGAGAGAATCTGGTTCTTTTAGAACTAGATTAAACATGTAATTTAACATTATTGACAATATTTATATGTTATCTATGAGAAATATGCAATGAACAGATATTTTCTTTTGCAGTGCACAACATCAATGTTGTGCTTACCTTTTCATGATGACATACTACATACAGGCAGATTTCAAGTTTCAACAGTTCATTTATTGACCATTTGAAGTTACATCGGCACTGAAAAAAGTGGCTTATGACAATTTTTCATACTTATGACTGTTGCAGCATCTCCATGGTCACATGATCAAAATTTGGATGCTTGGCAGCTGGTTCATATTTATAACGGTTCCAGTTTCCTGGGATCATGTGATCATATTTTGCATCTTCTGATAAGTAAAGCCAATGGGAAAGCCCAATTCACTTAAGAACCGTGTTACTAATTTAACAACTGCATTGATTCATTTTACAAATGTGGCAAGAAAAGTTGTAAAATGGGGCAAAACTCACTTAACAAATTTCTCACTTAGGAACATAAATTCTGGGCTCAATTGTGGTCATAAGTCGAGGACTACCTGTATTCTAAAATATATGTTCTTCTGGACATTAAGGGATGATATATGTACATCATAAACAACTGGACTTCAAATTGTTATGCATTTGCATTCCCTCCTAACTATGTGCTTTTCTTTCTTTCTCCAGTTACCTATTATTATGGTAGTTGCTTTCTCAATGTGCATTATCTGTTTGCTTATGGCAGGTAAGTAATCATTCAGCCTTTCTGTACTTCACGTTATATTGCAGGTAGTTTGACTTAAGTCTTTTATCAGTTAGCAACCAGTTACAAGAAGATTTCCCTGGGTACTTACCATTTCTCCATGAAATTAAGACTGGGTCCTATGTTTATTGGGGAACAAAAGACCCCCAATAGTTCTTATTTTCAGGGGTGTTTTATTTTGTGGCACCCCACCCACAGCGACCATCTGTAATTAGCTCCGTTTCAAAGTGCCCCATTTGTAAGCAGATGAAGCTTTGTCTCCCTCTGGGCCAAAAGTACGTGGCAGAGCCAGGCAGAGCAAGAGGCATGGGAGGGAGGGAGGGAGGCGATCCCAATGCGCCACCCACTCCATCCCACCAATTCAGCTTGCCCTTGGCCATGCAGGGCAGATGCCCATACAGGGCATCGGGATTTCCTGTCTTCCCCCCCCTCCCCTCCCCTGTGCCTCTGCCTCTGCCTGCTGCCTGTACCACCATGCAAGCCTTCTGTGAGCCAGGCAGCCACATACATCTGGACTGCCTGTCTCACCTCCTCTCTGCCTCCGTGCTCGAGCTTCTCTGAGTTGTGCCTAGGGGCCAGTGGGCTGCTGCTGCCAGACACAGTTGGCCCCCACACACTCACTGTCTCTTGTGCTGACCATGCCCATTCCCCAGGCTTATTTTTGGGGTAGGGCTTATATTGGGCCCATCACAAAAGATCAGGCTAGGGCTTATTTTCAGGGAAACATGGTACAATCTGGATTCAAGGTTCAGACTTCACAATGTCCCCGTCCCTGTGGTCATACGACCAAACTTTAGGCATTTGACTGCATTTGCAGCCATTTGCAGCATCCCATAGTCACATGACTGTGTTTTATGATGGTGTTGCCAAAAATCAGCATTTACGTCCAATTTTCAGTAAAACTACAGCTATAAGGATTGGTTTGTTTAATGACTGCTGTAAAAAAGATTGTAAATTGGGTTGGTCATGTTACTGATCCATTTACAAATGTTTTATTACTTATGACCATGATATTCATGCTCCATTACAGTCATAAATTGAGAACCACCTGTATTCCCTAAAGTTTTTTGGCAAGATTTCAGAAGTTGATATCTTCCCAGGGCTGAAAGATATCATCTTCTTTCAAATTCACAAATGGGGAAAATAGCTTTTACAAGTTAGAATATTCTCCCAACACAATGATTGTCCTTATCATGTAGAAAAGAGTTATTTTTATAAGGGATGGCAATTGTCATGATCATTAATTTTATGGCTTGTAATTGAAAATAATTTATTACATTTTGCAGGGGACACATGGACAGAGACACTGGCCTACGTGATGTTCTGGGGAAGTGCAAGTTTTGGAACTCTTGCTATCATCCTTTACAATGGCAAAGATTTTGTAGATGCACCTAGGCTAGTCCAAAAGGAAAAAATGGACTGAATTTGTGTATGTGGAAAGCAGCTTGGTAGAAATGGCTCCTCAGTTCATACGTGGAGTCTCTACTGATCTACTTTCCACACCAACTTGTGAGGGTAGGGATAGGTTTCATTTTTAAAGGGTGAAAAGATGATTCCACTTGGGTTACTTGGTGGAAGGGACTAACCTTTTTGTTCTACAGTTACAATGATTTTTGGAGTATTGCATTTGTTAGAGAACTTGCACACACAAGATGGAAGTGAAAGCCAGTAATGCTATGTCCTAACATTGGGAGAACTGAATTCCTAAAGAATCTGTGACTATTTTGTTCCAGCAGTATAATATATAAGAAGTCTTAGATAGCTCCATTGCAAAGGAGGATTATGATCTGGTATATCAAGAGATGTATCTGTTGCTAGGTTAAACTATGTATCATTTACCTTCTCTGATACATAGAAAAGCTTTGCTTATTAACCATAAAATAATTGCTGCTTTACTCAGTTTGTAATATTGCAAATACAAGGTTTTTTTTTTTATTAAGTCAGTCCAAGAGCATCAGTTTTCTTAGATTTCTATAAATACTTTTTTCTTTGATAAAAAAGCCAGCTATGGATGAGAATAATGCAATATTCTGTTAAAACACTGAGAGGATAGGATGTACAACTGATTTTCGTGGGATATGTCTTGTGCTGCTTTAATAACTACTGTCCTTAGCTTTATATAACAAATTTCCATATGATTAAAAAAAATCTTTTTTAAAAAAAAGATGTATCTGAAATCAAAGAATGTAAAAATGGTTAAATATTCTCATGCTAAGGTCCAAAGTATTCATTTCTTTCTGAAGAATCTCAAATGTTAGGTGGATTTTTGAAATTGGCAGTCCAGTTACTATATCTGCTAGCTTGGATTTAATAAGAATGATCTGTGGAAAAATGAATAATTGAAAAAAATTACTTGGGAAATATTTCATGTTTGCACTTGGGATCAACATCAACTTTTTGTGCATGCCATAACTATTTCTCTAATATAGTCTTATGCTAATTATTAATAAATATATGTCTCAACTCTAGTGCTTCCAAGCTTTCTATTAAAACTATATCTAAATGAAAGACCAATTTAAAACCATTTTGCCATCCATTTTCTAATTTATTTGTGTTCAAAAGCAGACGTGAATCAGCTTCAAGTGCAGTGTATTATTTTTAGTAAATTCAACTATACATTCAAGATTGAAATTATGTTATTTAAGTATTAGATTTGTAGCAGATAAAGGTTGCCTCTCCTAAGTTAAAACTAAGTGGATTGCTGCAATGTTTTCATTGTTTGAAAATTGAACCTCTTATATGGACTTTGGAAACAAAAATTGCTCTCTTTGAATGGTTATGAGGTGGGCTTTTTTGGGTCATCCTTTCGATTATTTGTAATAAATACATGCTGCTCCTGTTTTCTTTTTAAATAATTGAGTTGAAAGAAAGTGAAATGATGGGGGCTTGAGTCTGCTCAAATATGAGGAAAACACAAAAGCTGTGCATTAAATGGATGGTCATTTTTTTCATTTAAAAGACTCTTCCTTGATTCTTCTGTTCATTTCTTATAAATAACTTCAACAGTCAAACAGATGTGGGTAGTTCTAGTTGCTAGGTGAAAACTCAAATTCTTTAAATTGGGGGGGGGGGGGTGTTGAGAGAATGTCTGTATTCCAGTGCTTTATAAAAGAGGTTGAAAACAATATACTTAAACAATAATAAAACTTCAATTTTTAAAACATAGTGTTTTTGAGTCTGAATCTTAAAAGACAATGTGTACACTGGTATTCAAATATGTATGATAAAAAGTAACACAGGCAATTATTTACATTATGAAATTCTTCCATCAAATGTCAAGATTGTAAAATCATATTGTATTATTTTCTATGTCTTGCAGGTTGTTCTGTGCCATGCATTATGTCATGTACCACTTTTTTATATCACTGATTAGCCAATTACATATCAAATTCATACCAGCAAATGAGCTTTCTTTTACTATAGACTCCTTTAAATGAAAACTGAAATAAAATAAATTCAGTCTCCTGGAGAGAAAAAAATATATAAAATAAATTTAAATAATTGTAAAAACATTTAAGTCAAATACATGGAACATCAGATTCACAAGCTATGGAAGACTGTACAGTGTTAATATTTTATGGAAGAAAGTACATGAAAACTCAACTCATGTTTACTTGAAAGTTAAAATAAAATTGGTCCAGGCCTAGAAAATAAGAAATTTGCAGTTCTAATCTAATGTTGCTTTGTATGCTTCTAAGCAGTTATGCACTTCTGCAAAAGTTTCAAATGCAAAAGATTATCTTGCATATCAGTATATAAAAGTTGTGTGTTTTGGAGGTTTTGTCCCCACCTCAAAAAAAAACCCCAAAAAACCAATGACTATTTCATGCAATGTTATTTTAAATGTTCCAACAATTTCTAATGCTGCAATTAACACATTTAAAAAAAATGTTTCCAACCTAATACAGAAGCAGAGATAATTGTGATTGACTCAGAGTGGAAGGATTGTGGGAAAAAAAGCCAGTTATATTTTTAACACAAGTCCCTCTCTAATCTCATTTCAGTACATAGGTCATATTTTCCATCTTGTGTTCATTTAACAGGCTATACATTCTAATAACAATATGTATATATATATATTGTGTGTGTGTGTGTATGTATGTATGTGTGTGTATACACACACACACACATACACACACATATATATATATATACACACACACACACACACACACACACACACATACATACACACACACACACACACACACTGCTCAAAAAAATAAAGGGAACACAAAAATAAGACATCCTAGATCTGAAATGAATGAAATATTCTTATGAAATACTTTGTTCATTACATAGTTGAATGTGCTGACAACAAACTCACACAAAAATTATCAATGGAAATCAAATTTTGCAACCCACGGAGGTCTGGATTTGGAGTTACACTCAAAATTAAAGTAGAAAAAAACACCACAGGCTGATCCAACTTTGATGTAATGTCCTTAAAACAAGTCAAAATGAGGCTCAATAGTGTGTGTGGCTTCCACGTGCCTGTATGACCTCCCTACAACGCCTGGGCATACTCCTGATGAGGTGGCGGATGGTCTCCTGAGGGATCTCCTCCCACACCTGGACTAAAGCATCCCCCAACTCCTGGACAGTCTGTGGTGCAACGTGGCGTTGGTGGATGGAGCGAGACATGATGTCCCAGATGTGCTCAATTGGATTCAGGTCTGGGGAGCGGGCAGGCCAGTCCATAGCATCAATGCCTTGATCTTGCAGGAACTGCTGACACACTCCAGCCACATGAGGTCTTGCATTAGGAGGAACCCAGGGCCAACCGCACCAGCATATGGCCTCACAAGGGGTCTCATCTTGGTACCTAATGGCAGTCAGGCTACCTCTGGTGAGCACATGGAGGGCTGTGCGGCCCCCTAAAGAAATGCCATCCCACCCACTGCCAAACTGATCATGCTGGAGAATGTTGAAGGCAGCAGAATGTTCTCCATGGAGTCTCCAGACCGTCACGTCTGTCATATGTGCTCAGTGTGAACCTGCTTTCATCTGTGAAGAGTACAGGGCGCCAGTGGCGAATTTGCTAATCTTGGTGTTCTCTGGCAAATGCCAAACATCCTGCACGGTGTTGGGCTGTAAGCGCAACCCTCACCTGTGGACGTTGGGCCCTCATACCACCCTCATGGAGTCTGTTTCTGATCGTTTGAGCAGCCACATGCACATTTGTGGTCTGCTGGAGGTCATTGTGCAGGGCTCTGGCAGTGCTTCTCCTGTCCCTCCTTGCACAAGGCGGAGGTAGCGGTCCTGATGCTGGGTTGTTGCCCTCCTATGGCCTCCTTCATGTCTTCTGATGTACTAGCCTGTCTCCTGGTAGCGCCTCCATGCTCTGGACACTACACTGACAGACACAGCCAACCTTCTTGCCACTGCTCGCATTGATGTGCCATCCTGGATGAGCTGCACTACCTGAGCCACTTGTGTGGGTTGTAGACTCCGTCTTATGCTACTACTAGAGTGAAAACACCACCAGCATTCAGAAGTGACCAAACCATCAGCCAGAAAGCATAGGAACTGAGAAATGGTCTGTGGAACCTGCAGAACCACTCCTTTATTGGGGATGTCTTGCTAACTGCCTGTTTTCCACCTGTTATCCACTCCATTTGCACAACAGCATGTGAAATTGATTGTCAATCAGTGTTGCTACCTAAGTGGACAGTTTGATTTCACAGAAGTGTGATTGACTTGGAATTACATTGTGTTGTTTAAGTGTTCTATCATTTTTTGACCCTTTCTCTTGCTTATTCCTCTTTTTTCTATTATATTCCTCTGTTTCCCTTCCCAATTATCTGATTTTGCCCCTGTCCTCTCATAAACCTCTCTCTGAATTTCCCTTCTTTGTTGCTTAGATCATAGAATTTCCTCCCCTGGGTTTATTACCTCAAGCATTAACATTTTAAGTTTTATTTCCCTTTTTCCCTTTCACTGTTTGTTGTTTCATCTGCTCTGTCTTGTTGGTTTCTCATCTGTTTGGCTCGTCCTCTGCCTGCACGTCTTACTTTTCTTCTGTAGTTTGCATCGCCATTTTTGAATTTTCTTTCATAGTCCATATTTTACTCAGTAAGTCATTAATGCTTCTGTTCATCATTTCTCTTATAGTTTTTAATTCCAGTGCTATTTCTTTGCATATTTCATTCATTTTTACTGCTTGTTTTATTTTTTGATCCAATTATCCAGCATCTTTATTTAAACCAACATTTTTCCCCCGTCTGTTAGTTCGATATCCACCAGCCTTTGTATCCCAAAGTCCATCAATCTATTTCTTTTCATGTGTCCAAATCCCAGGGAAAATCTTCATGTGTTCCTCCACCGATTTAAATTCAATACTCCAATTTTGGGGGGTCTTTTAACAATACAGTTCCTTTTATTTTTCTTTAATTTCAACTTTAAATAAATCAGGTTGTTGGGATCTACATGATTTTTCTTTTAACAGCAGATGGCAAACTTCTATCAGTTTCCACTTTCCACCTTTTTTACTGTTTCTTTGATCTTTCATTGTTTATCAATATTTTCACTTGTTAGTTATTATATTCCTTTTCCATAGTCAATTACAGCATTTTAAATAATGCCTATCCACCGTGTCCTGTACAATCACCAATTCCAATTTTGTAGATTCTTTTTTGTAAAAGTTTTCCTTTTAAGTTATTTCCCTTCCATTTCACTTTTAAGGATTAAATTCTTTGTTTTTCCCAAGATATTTCCTGTATTTTTCTCACATTAACAATCACTGCCAAATTAAAAATAGTTTTGAGCCCTTTTCTGAATCTACTTTTTCAGGGTTATGATTAAATAAAAGAATTATTTTCACCCAGTTCCACACTGTCACTGTCTCACTCCTGCGCTCTTCTTAGATTGAAGCTGTCTCCAGCTGTGTGGCAGCCATTCTTCACAACGTGGCTTGAGGAGCAAAGGCCTTAGGGGTCTACAGGGGAGTTGCATTCTCCCCTGAAACCATACCAGGCACATCTTCCTTGCTTCACCACTCTTCGAGTGGTTTTGGTTCCTTTCAGAGTCCATGAACGTGCAGAAGCCAGCACAGGGAGCAAAGAGCTCCATTCTCCTGCTGCTGGAGTCACTGCGACATCATTTCCTTTTTCAATCTACCACCATTTCTATGGTTTTGAGTGTGTTCAGTTCCAGATTGTTACCTCCCATCTGTATGCGGATTCGTTGTCTCCAATGAGACCATTACTGTATCATCTGCAAACTTCAATACTTTAACAGAGGGATCTTTTGAAATGCAGTCATTGGCATAGAGAGAGAAGTAGAGAGAGCACACAACCCTGGGCGGATCCTGTGCTA